TGTGCCACTGCACTCCAGCCTGGGTGCAGTAAGACAGAGACCTGTCTCAAAAATCATAATAATAATAAAGTTAAACTTTTAGTTTTAAGATAATTGTAGATTTACCTGCAGTTGTAGGAAGTAACACAGAGGTCCCGTTACCCTCTACCCAGCGTCCCCAGTGGTAGCATCTTGCAAGACTGCAGTGCACAGTCACGCCAGGACCTTGACACCGATACAGACGCAGGACAGTGCCACCCCCATGAGACCCCGACATGTTCTTTATGGCCACGCTGCTCCCTCCCACCCCTCCCTAGCCCTGCAACCACTCATCTCTCCGGCTCTGTCTGGTCGTTTCAAGAAGGTCCTGTCAGTGCAGGCTTTCAGTATGCAGCCTTGGGACTGGCTTCTTGGGCTCAGCATAGTCCTCTCCATGCAGAGCCAATGGTCACTCCTGTTCACTGCTGGGCACCAGGGGCCAGTTCGTGCTCAGTCTTGCTCAACTCTGTTTGTGGCCACCAGGGCATGGTCAGTGAACACTTTGGGTCTGTTGTCCCTGGTGGACACAGCTTCCCTGGGCCCTGAGGATGGTGAAGCCTGGGGATAGTGGGGCCAGTCATCGGGGAGAGAGTGCACCCTGACTGCTGAGACCCTCAGAGCTGTACCCTTCAGAGGCATAAACCTGGGTGGGGGTGGCCTGAAGTGGCAGAGCTCCTGCCACCAGCCTCCATCTAAACGCTAGGAAGGGCCTTCACCCCATCCTCCTGTCTGTATCCTCACTGCTGTTGTAAGCTCAGTGCTCTTACAGATGGGGAAACTGAGGCACAGGGAGGTTCAGCACTGTGTGCCCAAGGTCATGTGGCCAGTGAGTCTGACAGCAGGATTCCAGCCCTGGTCTTTTTTTGTGGGGGGGGGGGGACGGAGCCTCGCTCAGCTGCCGAGGCAGGAGTGTAGTGGCACCACAATCTCAGCTCACTGCAACCACCATCTCCCAGATTCAAGTGATTCTTCCGTCTCAGCCTCCCAAGTAGCTGGGATTACAGGTGCCCACCATCATGCCTAATTTTTGTATTTTAGTGGAGACGGGGTTTCACCATAGTTGCCTAGGCTGGTCTTGAACTCCTTACCTCAGGTGATGCACCCTTCTTGGCCTCCTAAAGTACTGGGATTACAGGTGTGCCCATGCCCAGCCTCTTCTTTTTTTAAAAAATAGAGATGAGAGTCTCATTATGTTGCCCAGGCTGGTCTTGAACCCTTGGGCTCAAGCGATCCTCCTGCTTGGCCTCCGCAAATGCTGGTATTACAGGAGTGAGCCGCCTCACCTGGCCAAGCCCCAGTCTCCTGACCCCGTCCAGAGTGATCCTGTGCCCAGGCCCCTTTCCTCACTCCCCTCTGTGCCACCCATCCGGTTAGGGCTGAGGGAGGAGGTGAGTCATGGGTGAGGGCACAGCAGGCAGGGAAGGAGCTGCTGACACGGACACCTGGCAGGGGCCCTACACTGGGCTGTGTTGCACCTGGTGGGTGAGGTGAGGAAGGGGTGGATGGGCGGGCACAGCTTGGAGGGCAGTGGGACAGGGTAGCTGGGCCTGCGGGGCTGGGGATTCTGAGGACCACCAGGGAGGAGCTGGATGGAGCTGGCCTTGGCTGCCTGCCGACCGCGCTCACCATGGCATGTGTGCAGTGCAAGGGCAGCAGGTGCAAGGAGGGGGAGATGGGGCGGACGTGGGGAGCTGATCTGTGGGCCGGTGGGGTAGTGGGGGTGAGACATGCCTGGGCAGAGGCCCAATGGGGCCCTAACCCTGACAGCCAGGCCTGCCTCTGGCTCCGGCTGGGCATGGAATGTGCTGAGTCCTATGCCGCGATCCCGTGGCTCTAAGGGACAGGGAGTGTCTGGAAGGAATCTGCATTCAGTGCCCTGAACACCTGACCCCAGTGTGGTGAGCACAGGAGCCTTCCACGGCCTGAGGAGGCCTCCCTGGGGCTCTGCGGCCTTGGTGTTCTAGGAGGCAGGAGTCACGTCCTGGGGGGGATTTAGGAGAGCTGGTGGCCACGCCTGTAGTCCCAGCACTGTGGGAGACAGGAGGATCGCTTGAGGCCAAGAGTTCAAAACCAGCCTGGGCAACATAGTGAGATCCCATCTCTACAAATAATAAAAAATTTATCTGGGCATGGTGGCTCACACCTGTAGTCCGGCAGGAGGATAGCTTGAGCCCAGGAGATCGAGGCTGCAGTGAGGCGTGATGGTGCCACTGCACTCCAGCCTGGGCGACAGAGT